GGTCCCCAGCATTGCTCAATAATCAAACTGCTAATAATTGGCTTCTTTAAAGGATATCATTGAGGCTGAGCACGGTGGCCTCGCCTGTGACCCCAGCAACTCAGGAGGCAGAGGAACAAAAGTCCCAGCCCAGCCTGGGCAGCCTAGTGAGGCCCTGTCTCCACATAAAAATGAAAAGGGCTGGGGTGCAGCTCAGTGGTAGAGCACCCCTAGATTCAATCCTAATCACTGCAAAAGAGAGAAAAACAAACAAAACAAAAAATCAGAATTTTACACAGTCTTGATAGGGATCCATGTTTGCTGGATGTGCTGTGAATATATTCTCCCAGAGCACATTGCCTTTTCTGTTTATCCAAAATAAGAGAGCGGGGCTGGGGATGTGGCTCAGGCGGTAGTGCGCTCGCCTGGCATGCGTGCGGCCCGGGTTCGATCCTCAGCACCACATACAAACAAAGATGTTGTGTCCACCGAGAACTAAAAATAAATAAATAAATAAATATATTTTAAAAAAAATAAGAGAGCTTGGGGCTGGGGACCAGCTCAGCGTAGAGCGCTTGCCTCGCAGGCACACGGCCCTGGTCCAATCCCCAGCCCCACAAACACCAAAAAGAGCCAGTAGAGAGGGACTGGCTGTTCTGCCCGGATGTGATGCCACTCTGAGTTTGTCCCAGCCAGGAGGAAGTCACGCTCTGTCCTGAGGTGACGCCACTCTGAGTTTGTCCCAGCCAGGAGGGAGTCAGGCTCCGCCTGGGGAGCTGAGAGCCCACTGCAGGGGCCGGGGGTGCTGGAGGGCAGAGACAGGTGGGCTGTGGGACGTGAGAGGAGAAGTCACAGCTGCCGCCCAGGCAGCTGGGGGGGAGGGTCGGGCGTGGTCCATCTGAGGTGCCTCCACAGCCAAGGCCACACACACAGCCCAGTCCAGGGGCAACCTGAGCTTCGGCCGAGGGCAGGGTTCTGGACGGAGGGACGGGGCAGGCTCACCCAGGAGCTTGCCCTGGGAAGAAGCAGAGGGTCAGCCTGACAGGAAGCCGGTGGCCACTGGGACCCAGGGAACTGTGCATTAAGTGACGGGCAGACGGACATGGCCAAGCAAGGCCACAGACCTCCCGCACATGTGTTGATGTGCTGGTGTCCTGCCGCTGTGCCCAGGAGAGAATGGGGGTCCTGGCCCCCTGGCCACCATGCCCTCAGCTCCACGCAGCTGCGTCTGCCGTGGGGCTTCTCTCTGGCTTCTTGGGCATTTCCCTCCATGCCTCTGGGGCTGTCCTTCCTGGTCCTCCTTCTGCCTGCTTTTCTGCGCCCTTCCCCAGAGGCAGGGTGTGATCAAGCCCTGGGACAGGAGTGGGCAGGGTGGCCTGGTTGGCGACACACCCACAGGTCCTGGGCCTGCTCATGTCCATCGCAGGCCGAGTTCCACCCCAGGCCAAGGCCAGCACCTTCGGGGGTCCCATTTGTCCTCTCTAGGCCAGAACCCTGTGGGCTTCTGCTTGGTGTCCAGGGGCACAGTGCTTGCTGCCCCCTCCCCAGAAGATAGGCAGGCACATAGCTGGACTGCAGGAAGCCTGCCTTGTCCTGGCTGGTGGACTAAGCCTGCCCACCCTGGCCATGCCTCGGGTCACCAAATGAAGTGAGTCCATAATGCCAGAGTTCTGGGGACGAGTGTCGTCAGTGCCGTTGGACAGCTGGTGGACATCACCTGAGCCCTTCTTATCACATTGCCACAGCAGGACCCCCAGCACACCGAGAAAGAGCGTCTTTCTGAATGCGTGGGGAACAGCCAGCTCGGCTCGGCACACCCCGTCGGCAGGAGCCAGGGCCTGCGAGGCTGGAGGGCAGGCGCAGCGGCCCAGGTGCAGGAGGTGGGGCAGGCGCAGCGGCCCAGGTGCAGGAGGTGAGGGCAGGCGCAGCGGCCCAGGTGCAGCAGGTGCGGGCAGGCGCAGCGGCCCAGGTGCAGCAGGTGAGGGCAGGCGCAGCGGCCCAGGTGCAGCAGGTGAGGGCAGGCGCAGTGGCCCAGGTGCAGGAGGTGGGGCAGGCGCAGCGGCCCAGGTGCAGGAGGTGAGGGCAGGCGCAGCGGCCCAGGTGCAGAAGGTGGGGCAGGCGCAGCGGCCCAGGTGCAGCAGGTGAGGGCAGGCGCAGCGGCCCAGGTGCAGGAGGTGGGGCAGGCGCAGCGGCCCAGGTGCAGGAGGTGGGGCAGGCGCAGCGGCCCAGGTGCAGGAGGTGAGGGCAGGCGCAGCGGCCCAGGTGCAGCAGGTGAGGGCAGGTGCAGTGGCCCAGGTGCAGCAGGTGAGGGCGAGCCGGGCAGAGGGGGCAGCAGGTGCTGGGGCTTACTGCACCTGGAACCTGTGCTGGGAGCAAGTGCCCTTGGGTCCCAGGGTGGGCCACAAGGGGAGCCAGTGGCCAGGAGGGCGTGGAGGCTGGGGGGACACCGGCACCCCGGGCAGCTCCGCTCTATGCTGGACAGGCAGCTCCTTCCTTCTAAAGGGTCTCTTTGACCTGAAAGTGGTCAGAGCAGCCCTGCCCTCAGGACTGCCAGTGCTGGTGTCCCAGAGCGTTCAGACCCCGTCCTCCCACTGTCCTCCCCCGCTGCCTCTCCCTGCCTCAGCGCCACGGCTGCTCTACTGCACTAGGCCGAGGGAGCAGGGCAGGGAAAGGGGCTTTCAAGACAACCGTGTCTTTTCTCACTTCTACAGAGGACACACGAAGCCCCCTGGGTGACCTGCAGACCACCCCAGAATGAGAGCAGGCCCAGGAAGCCTCTGCAGGCTCCGGTCCCTGAGGAGGACAGCTGCCACACCCGCGGGTCGTCCTCGCTGGCCAGCAGCTCCCTCCAGGACACCTGGAGGTTGCTAGACCTGGGCTCCAGCCCTTCAGGCCTCCCCTCCCAGGACGACTCAGCTCCAGGTAGGAGAGTTCCTGCCCGGCTGACGTGTGCCCGCCACTCCCTGAGGCTGACGCCGGCGGGCGCTGCCTTGAGGCCTTGGCCTCCTGGGTCTGCTTCAGGTGCTCCATAACCCGCAGCCCCTCGCCCTGCCCGCAGCCCGTCCCCCTACCCCGCAGCCCGTCCCCCTACCTGTGGGACCCTGTGGGAAGCAGCCCTGCCAGCACGGCGCCCCTCGGGTGTGCCGGGACGGACCAGTGTGCACAGGCTGCTCTCTGGAGGAGACCTGCGGCTCCCCACGTCTGCTCCGTCTCTGGTGCCAGGGGAAGTCACAGGCCCCTCCCGTGCCCCACTCCTGTGGGGACAGGCTGCGCTCTGGGCAGGTGGAGTTTTCAGGAAAACCCATGTGACCATGTGACCAGCTCTGGGCCAGTGCAGGCGGCAGCTCCTGCAGGAGGTGGAGGGAGGAGAGGCCTGTGGGGGCCGCAGGGTGGGGTGTGGCTGGCGTGAGAGCCCCTGCCCAGACGCACCTCCTCTGGCCTCACAGCTGAGCACATCACCCACCTGCCATCCCAGCCACCTGGGAGGCGGAGCAGAGCAGGAGGCCAGAAGTTCCAGGGCAGCCTCAGCAGCCTAGCAAAACCCTGTTTCAGAATGACAAATAAAAAGGTAGAAGGTCCCACCCCAGTCGGAAACCAAGCCCGAAGGCTAGGGCTGGGCCGCTCAGCCCTGGCGCACAAGCCAAAGGCACTGCATCTGGCAGGTGGTGTCGGCGGGCCAGCCCACCCCGCAGCATCCAGGGCAGCTTCCTGCACACTGTCACCAGTCTTCCCAGCATCCATCTTTGCTAGACTGTTGAAATTCTTTGGAAATTAGGTTATTTCTGAGACAAAAGTTATAAATATCTACAGCCAGTTTTTCATGTGTTTGGCTTTTTTTTTTTTTTTTGGTCCTGGGGATTGCACCTAGCAGGGCTCCACCACTGAGCCACATCCCCAGCCCTTTTTATTTTTTTAGTGTGAGAGTCTTGCTAAGTTGCCCAGGCTGGCCTTAAACTTGGGATCCTCCTGCCTCAGCCTCCTAGTCCCTGGGATTCCAGGAGTGGCACCATGCCCAGCTTTTCACTTTTCTTACGGTGCTTTTTTTTTTTTTTTGGTATATTTTAGTTGCAGATGGACACAATATCTGTATTTATTTTTATGGTGCTGAGGATGGAAGCCGGTGCTTTCCACTTGCAAGGCCAGCGCTCCACCACGGGAGCCCCGGCCCCAGCCCTTTCCGTGGTGCTTTTGTTATGCACCTATTTCTCACTTTTATGTAGCTCATGTCCTTGTATATGACCCTTTCTAGCTTTGGGGGCCCACGCAGGCCACTCCGACCTTATTGTCCATATCTTCTAGGGCAGCTCTGGTCTCACTGCTTTAGTGTGAGTCCACACCCGCCCGCACACTTACCGTGCTGTGTTGTGAGGTGGTGCTGCAGGTGCCGGCACCAGGCTGCTCCTGCGTGGAGAGCCCCTCCCCGGCCCTCTGCGGTCCGCCTGCCTGCGTGCAGTGCAGTGGTGTCGGAGGGCCAGTCGGGTCTTCCCTGGTGTTTCTTCCTCAGAATCTTGCTGGTTGCTCCCTTTCCTTCTCTGTGCAGCCTCGAGGCCCAGCCCACGAGGTTCCCGTGCCCCCAACTCTATTCTCGTTTTCTGAGGACTCATTATATTTGGGCTCTTTAGTTTAAAGGTCTCTGGCTCCACGTTCGTCCTGGAATGGGACCACACTGTGTTCAGTGAAATGGAGTGTCGGCAGGCTGGGCAGGGTGGGTTCCCCAGACAGGGGCCAGGAAGGCTGCTGTCTCTTTGAGGTCGGCCTGCTGGGCCACAGGGGCACTGCTGGGCAGGTCAGGAGGGCCGGCCAGTGAGTGTGGCAGGTTCCGGGGAGGTGGGGTCAGCGGCTGCGCTCCAGGCTGGAGGCGGAGCGTGGCCTGGTCTGCTGGCCCAGTGGCCTCAGCAGTGTGGCTCCTGCTCCCTGCAGAGGTGGCTCTGAGGACAGCCCTCCTGGTGCTCCGCGGGCGGGCGGGCGGGCGGGCGTCTCTTCCTGCTGTACTGTGCGGTCCCTGTCCCAGCTCCGCCGCTGAGTCCTGCTCCAGGCCCCTCTCCTCTCCCGGCACTGAGCCGCGCTGCTCTGCGGGTCCTGGCTCTGCACACAGAGGGCTGCCTGGGGCTTCTTGGTGAAGGTCTGTTGGGTTTGCTCCTTCCTATGGAGGCAGGGGCTCCCTGTGCCGCCCACGGCCTCCAGCTCCTGGGCTCAAGCCATCCTTCCCCCTCGGCCCCCCAGCAGCTGACGCTACCCGCTGAGCCACTGAACCAACTCCTCCTTTTTTCTTTCCTCCTCCTCCTCCTCCTTCTTCCTTCTTTCTTCTTCTCCTTCTCCTTCTCCTTCTCCTTCTCCTTCTCCTTCTTCTTCTTCTTCTTCGTGTGTGTTACTGGGGGCTGGACCCCTGCTGCTCCACCACAGCTACACCCCGGCCCTTTAATTGATTCATTATTTTGAAACAGTTGTCTGGGTTTGCCGCGGCTGGCCTAGTCTTGGGATCCTCCTGCCTTGGCCTCCAGAGTCGCTGGGTGACCAGCGTGGCCACTGTGCTGGCCCTGCTCTTAGCTTTAATGAAAGGCATTTTCTGTTTGCTGTGATCTTGCTGGGAATGACTTACAGGAGGAGCAGGAGGAATGCTAGCTTTGCATTGGCTTCTTTAAATCAAAAATGTGTTCTGACAAATGTGGCCAAAGAGGCCCTGGCTGCCGGGCCATGTGGCCCCTGCCCCACACAGCTTGGGCAGAGAAGGCTGCCTTGTCACTCACTCCCTGTGGCACTGACTTTCAATTCATGTTTGCTTTTCAAATTAAATTGAATTTTTCCCTGGTGCTGAGGACTGAACCCCGGGTGCTCTACCACTGAGCGGCACCCAGGGCTTTTTATTTTTATTTTGAAACAGGGCCTCACTAGGTTGCCCAGGCTGGCCTCCAACTTGTGGTCCTCCTGCCTCAGCCCCTAGGTCTCTGGGATCACAGGTGTAAATAAATATCTAGAGTAAATATGATCAAATTCCTTGTTACTTATCCATTTTTACTTTCGAAATCTCCCATAATAACTTCTTGGATAGGTTTTTCTTCCGGTAACAGAGATTGTTTTATTCGGGAAGCCTTTTGAGGCCTGTGGCTGGACATCTGAGTGCACTTAGGTAGCGGTGCCCGCTGGCCCTGTCGGCCTAAGTCCTGAGACTGACGGCCCCTGGACGAGCTCGCACAGGAGGGGATGCCAGGAGCCAGGAAGGCAGCCTGACCCCAGCCAGGGGCTCCCGTGAAGAGAGGGCTGAAGCTGGCTGCCACCCACCAGCTTGGTCAAACCCGTGAACTTGAAATCTGGTGGCTCTGCCTCCCAAAGTCCAGAAAGCAGGTGAGGGAAGCCAGGCCCTGCAGGGTGGGTGCTGAAGGGTGCGTGCCCCCCGAGAAGCTGGAGCTCGGAGAACCGCCAGCCCAGGCACAAAGGGCAGTCCTCAGGGCCAGCCTCCCTCCCATCCACTCGAGCAGCTGTGTCTGCAACACTGCCACCCAGGTCAGTCCTTGCACAAGCTCACACCACCGCGGCCCTAGAGGTCAGAGCCAGCCATTCCCCCGCGGAGCCCAGGAGGGTCGCCTGTGCACCTGGGGGTGGGGCGGCAACACCGTGACGGGCACAGCCCAGCGGCCTGGGAGGACCAGGCAGGAGGAGCAAGCTCAGGCCAGACCCCACCTCAAAACTGAGAGAGCTGGGCGCAGCTCGGGTGGAGCGCTTGCCTAGTGTGTGCAGGCCTGGTCCAATGCCCAGCACCACAAAAGATAGATTCCGTACTTACAGGGAGAAAATGCAGCCAGAAAGCCGACCCAGACACGAGGAGCCACCAGGAAAGCCCAGGCAGGCTGAGGGACCAGCGGGGCCGAGGGGCAGCTCAGGCGGGCGGTGCTCAGCATGCCCCAGGCTCTGGGTTCAACCTCCAGGACCACAGCAGAGGAAGGGGAGCAGGAGGGAGGGAACAGTTGGCATGGGCCCAGGGCGTCCTAGAAATGTCATTCACCCGAAGCCACTCCTTAATCCGGGAGGCCTGCAAGGCCCAAACAGAACAGAGGTCCTAAGAAGAAACCCAGAAATGACAGTGGAGTGTGACGGACATCGCTATCCAGGTACACGGATGAAGACACGAATCGGTGTGAATGTGCTTTATATACAACCAGAGACATGGAAAACGGGCTCTCCGGGTGTAACATGAACCGTGATGCATCCTGCTGTCCTCTATTTTAAAAATCGATAAATTAAAAAAAAAAGAAGAAGAAACCCAGGCTGGGCGTGGGGGCCACACCTGTGATCCCAGCTCCTTGGGAGGCAAAGGCAGGAAGAGCACAAGTTCCAGGCCAGCCCAGGCAACTGAGCCAGACTCTGCCTCAACCGGAAGTAAATAAAAAGGGCTGGGATATAGCTCAGGGGAGGATCGCCTCCCTGCCTGCATGAGGTCATGGGCTCAGTCCCCAACACCAAAAAATATAACCCTCGGGTGAAAAAGATGTGACAGAGCTCAGGCCACCAAGGGTAATACAGTGGTTCCAAGAGCTGTACAAGAAGCTGGGCGCGGTGGCACACGCCTGTGATCCCAGCAGCTCAGGAGGCTGAGGCAGGAGGATCGTGAGTTCAAAGCCAGCCTCAGTAATGGTGAAGGACAAAGCAACTCTGTGAGACCTCTAAATAAAACACAAAATAGGGCCGGGGATGTGGCTCAGGGGTCAAGTGCCCCTGAGTTCAATCCCTGGTATCCCCGCCGCCACCCAAACAAAGAAAAGAGCTGTTCGAGAGAGTAGATGTCACAGTGAGGCTGGACTGGTCACTGGCTTCTCATCGATGCAGAGAAGGAAGGCAGCGCAGTGAGACGTCCACGTGCTGAGAGCCAGGGTGTCCACTGACGGGCTTCCAGAGGGGCAGGCTGCAGCCCCGGGCCACCTGTCATCCCTCACTGAGAGTCCTCTCAGAGCAGAGGCCAGCACACTTCTGTGGAGGCCAAAGAGAGATGCCTTGGACTTGGCAGCCACCTAGCCTCCCTTGCCACTGGGCACAG